CTGTAGTTTGTTTCTTTGTTTTTGTGTTTCTCCCAGTCTATGCAGCAGCACCGCGTCTCTGAGTATAACATCACCCCAATTGGTTTCTATATAGTTTGCTTCTTGTTTTATATAATATAGTTCTTTGTTTAGCTCTTCCTGGGCAGCAGCAAAAGAAGACCATGCCTGCTGCTGCAGCAGCCCGCATCTATATAATCTATACTTGCTGCTGCTTGCTGCTGATATATACACCCAACGAGGTATGTTCCTTAGTGCCCTTCTTATTAGTTTTGTCTTTAGTTTTTTTTTTTCTTCTGGGGAAAGGAGACGTTGCTGCCAAGGAATATATCTGCTGCTGCTGCTGCTGCTGCTGTTGCTGCTGCTGCTGCTGCTGTTGGTTGCTGCTGCTGCTGCTGCTTCGGCGGGGTACTCCTCGTCCGGCTGCACTTGCTGCTGCTGCAGCAGCAACTCAAATAGCTGTCTTCTTAGCTCCTCGTATTCTTCTATTTCTTTTATTGGGGGATCTATGTTGCATGCATCTGCTGCTGCTGCTGCTGCTGCCTCCTGCAGCAGCTGCTGCCTCTCCTTTCCCTTTGCCCCCTCCTGCAGCAGCAAGTATGCTGCTGCACACACTGCAGCAGCAAATAATATAAAAAAACACAACCAACCCACAGATATAAATGATAAATCCATCGTCATTACACCCTGCTGCTGCTGCTGCTGCTGCTGCTGCTGCTGCTGCTGCTGCTGCTGTTTGTTTTTTTTCTGCTGCTGCTGCTGCTTGTTGGGGTGCTGCTGCAGCAGCTAACACGCAGCAGCAAGTCCGGCGGGACAAGTGCTGCAGCAGCAATACAAATTTTGCTGCTGCTGCTGCAAACGTGCTATGCAACTCCTGCTGCTGCTGCTGCTGTTGCTGCTGCTGCTGCTGCTGCTGCTGTTCTGCAGCAGTGCAGCAACCAGGTATGCTGCTGCTGCTGCTGCTGCTGCTGCTGTTGCTGCTGCTCTGTTTGTTTAGGTCTATAGTTGGCTGTCCCTGCTGCGTCGCAGCAGTGAAGACACAGGAACAGCAAGAGCAGCAACAGCAACAGCAGCAGCAGCAGCAGCAGCTGCTGCTGCTGCTGCTGCTGCAGCGGGAAGACCCTGCTGCAGCAGATACCCAAGAAGGTTATAGTGAGTCTCTGTTGCTAAGACAAATGCTGCAGCAGCAACAGCAGCAACTCTCAGTCTATGATGGGGCCGGCTCGCCTGCTGCTGCTGCTACTGCTGCTGCGTAGCCTAGCTTCAACGCCCCAGCAGCAGCAGCAGCAGCAGCAGC